AGAAGTGCATAAATGGAGAATTTTTGAAAAATCTACGAACTGCAAACGTCATGACCAATTTCGTAACTTTGAAATTTTGTTCATTTGTGATGATATCGATACTGAGCTACTACCGAAATGTTTCAAAGTTTTGTGAATGTGATTGGTTAACAGTATTTGTTCCGTATGTGTGCTGGCTTTATGTTTACTTTTAGTCATAGTTCAAAGAAATTCATGTTCTACTTGAACATGAATTTCTTTTGTTTAATTTCTTTTGTTTTTGTACTAAAATATATGAGTATGGTGAACCGAAGCTATTTTAAAAATGAATGTTAAATATTTTGACTAGCTTTTGCCCGCGCCTCCGTTCATGTGGTATTGTGGCAAAATTTTGGTATAAAATGACTATCCTATGTCGTTTCTCGAGTTCCGAACTATGTCTGCACCAAATTTCTCAGAAATCGGTTGAGTAGTTTTGGCGTGAAGAAAAGACAGACAGACAGGCAGAGTTACTATCGCATTTAAAATATTTGTATAGAATATATATGTAGATATAAATTACCGAAAGGTTTAGTGACTTTGTAAAACTTTGACTAAATATTACAACATTAGTTTGATCTCCAGATTATTTATTCCTTTCGAATAATTACTATCGTTTCTTTATCTGAAAGTACAAAAATGTGACACAATAATACGTATTGTAAGTTAATAGAGAATGTAATGCTTAAACCCCGCGCATTTTTTTTACTAAAAATATATACTTGTCTCCAGAAAAGGTTGTAGCTATTTTAGTCATGTCTGAAATTTAAATTGTATTCGAACAACAAATAACAACAATAGATCTAATTATTGCGACGTTCCTGACTAAATCAACTACTATGAGAGACTTAAAATGTAGTATTTTTATCTGTTTAGAAGAAAGTGAAAACTGCAGTTGTTGTTATTGAAAATTCAAACATTTTAAGCCACAATTTTAATAGTCACCATAATGCTGTTTTCTCAATACAAAATAAGTCTATTGGTTAACAAAAAGGTTTTATGAAAGAAATTCTTTTCTATACTTTTTTGTCGTTTTGTCATATGTCAGCCAAGAAAGAAGGAATTGTTACTTATCCATAAAGGTATTGAAAGAGGAACTTCCCGTTTTTGACCTTTTCTCGATTTATCTGAGGCTTTTATTGTACATAGAAGCTAGTTTTGGTTGAATATAATGTGACGAAAACATATCTGTAACCGCCATTTTGTCATTGAAACTTTTCTAGACGCTTGTTGTCTGGTCTGATGGGAACTTGAACAGTTGTACTGATATTAAGGACTGTCAAATAACAGCATGTCATCGTGTGATTAATAGTAAATTTTGTTTGGGTACTTTTGTTGAAAGATAGAAAACAATAATGTTACTGTACGTCTTTTTCTTATCAATAGTATAAAACAAAATCGCTTTGTACCTATATCCCTATGTACGCTAGTCGAAGAAGTTAAGACTACGCAACAGATTTTAATGCGGTTTTTTCAGTAGATGAAGTGTTTGGGAGGTTTATATGCATAATAACATTCATTAAAGTTCACAAATTTACATTAGCGTTGCACCCGTGCAAAGCCGTGGCGCGTGGCTAGTATAAAAGCTTACATTTAAAAACTACTCTGAATATCTTTTTAAAACCAGATAACTTTTTATTGAAGATTGCAACAGTATAGAAAAATCACCATAGTCAAAGTATTACCGTAAAGAAGCTAGCAAAACATTCTCAAAAGACTTTAAGTTACAAAAAGGCTAAAAAGACAAGAATGTAACGATCCATCGTTTGCTGAACAAATATATTGAGAGCACTACCTCATGTTTTCTAACCGAACGCTAGAAAAATAAAGCAGGACCAGTTTATATCACTTTCAGATTAAACGCTTTCTCATTGAGGAACGTTCAAGCCGAGCGATGAGCGGGAAACTTTGTCTTTGTGTCTATGACATCTGTCATTTTGTGGCGGGAGTTTTTATAGGTTAGGTTTGTCTATGAACTGATATTGTCGTTTTTATTTGCAGACCTTTGTATATTTTTTCATAACAATATAAAAATAGAATTGAATGTAGCAGAATGTATAATAATTCTAAAATGATGGTTTTGTTCGAGTAATTTTTTGCGGATTTGCTGCGAATTCTCAATTGCGTTAAAGTATTAGGATTAAGTTAAGTAGTAGTAAGTATTAAATTGTATTTTTGCTTAATAATGACGACAATAAAAACAGCTATGATAACGAACATTATGACGTCGTTTGATTTGTTTGTATGTGATGGGGTGGCAAAGGAACTACCTGATTGTGACCTTTTGTTGCCGCGTATGGACACCTGACACATCTGAGAAGTAACGATTGCGTTGCCAGCCTTTTGAAGATTAAGGTTTCGGGGCTAAAGGGATTGGGAAGGAATGAGGGGGAGTGGAAGGATTTGGCCTCCGGTAACCTCACTTAGCAAAACAATGCTGAGTTTGTATCACGCCAGTTTTTTTGAGGCAGTTGGATTTGGTTCACAGATCATTTTTAAGTTCAGCCATCGAAAAAAAATCACGGAATCGACATGTCATCCAAAATAACGATAAAATGGTGGAACGTTGCAGAATAATATTCAAATTCACTCGCCATTTCGGTTGAGAAAGCGCGATACGAGAGGCGTTTACGCCCTAGAGAATCTATAGATAATATTAAGAAGAATATTACTGTTGCCTGTCTGTTTGTCTTTTGTTTTTGGACTTAAAACGCATCTCGCTAGTTTCCCTGTAAGTTTTATTTGTGTGAAATGATACCCAAATTAGAGAATTCCGTTAGTCAGACAAAACAAAAAGGCTATTATTTAATCTAAATAAAATGAAACGTATCCTCATGTAAAAAATTTAACGGTTGCTGATACAACAGATTTAACTCGAAAAACTGTCACATAAGACTCGTAAAGTATTGAATTTATCTCCATGTAATAATCAAAATGAAGTAGAAAATATTTATACCCTAAATTCAAAGAAAATTCATACTCTTTACGATAGAAATCATACAATCATCGTGCTGCTTAATTTGCACAATTTTTGAAACAACCAAAGTCACGTTTACCATCTAGTAAAGGAATACAATAATTTTTGCTCTGACAAAGTGATTCAACTGTCCCCCATTGCCTTGGAAAGTTTCCAAACGAAATATGAGCCAGTTGTGGAGCAGAAATTTAATGTACGGACGTCCTGAAAGGGAGACAAGTGTGGTGAAACAAAGATGTATTGTGACGGTACTGCATTATAATATACATGCTTAAGTAGTTCTATCTTGTTTGTGTACAGACAGAAGTCTAAGTTTTTTTTTTGAGGGACAAAATCTCTTTAATTGTGGTAGAGCCAAGCTTCGGCACTATCACCGCAGTGATACCACGGTCTTACGGAATACCGGCATAAAACAACCACAGCGTTGTGTTTCGCTGTGCGAGTGAGGTTACTGGAGGCCCAATCCCTCCCCCTCCCCAATCCTTAAATATCAGATACTTTTATCTCTAAAATGCCGGCAACGCACTCGTTACTCCTTTGGGCGGCGTTGATTGCTTACCATCAGGTAATCGGTCTGCTCGTTTGCCGACAAATACCATAAAAATAACAAAATTGTCGAATAACTTCCCTCGCTCAGAGAGAAAGCAAGAGGTGTGTAAGACTCTACTGATTAAAAATTACACCCCGTTCTTTCTCCTGTTCTATGGCGAGGCCGCGGATTACCCCGCTTGTCCCGCAACCCCGGCTGAAAGTCTAAATATAATGGCTTCAGATGTTGGAGATCACTCAGAATTTTTTTTGAGTAGTGTTCTTTTAGTGTGACTCCATTTAAAGTGCAAAGTTTTTGAATGTGTCCCAAAGTTTTAAGAACTTTTAAAGGTTAATCCTTTTCGTGTCTGTGGTCATATCAGAATGAATAAGTTATAGCCCATTACAAATAGCGTCAAGTTAAAGTTTGGATTACATTTTCGGATTAAGATTGGTAAGTTTCCGATGCGGTGTTTGAATTCAGTATAGAGTTTTGAATGCATCTGATGTTTGGCTAGTCTTGCCGTATTTAAAAGCAATCAAAGCAATCAAATTTCAAAGTCCATAACAGAATTATTGTGATGTAATATTAAATCGATTATCTCAGGGAAAAACTCTTTGTGTGATCCACAAATGGTTTTTCCGGGTCTTAACTTCTAAAGTCTTAACGTCCCCTACGTTAAGACTTTCTTTTTTATCATGGGTGCTTTTAACCTTACACGAAATCTATTAAAATGCATATTTTTGTAAACCCTTAACTATTATACTGCTTTAATTTTCGTCTTTTTATGTTTTATCCAGAAACCTGAATGACTAAACAGAATTTGCTCAATATCGTTCCTCCCCCTTGCTCTTACGACAACGGATCTGTCGACATCGTTTATATTACTTAAGATGTGAGCAAAACATATTTATTATGTCGCTTTACTGCAGAAACTGACAGTCAAACTACTCCCAGTTGATTAATATTAGTTAGTTCAGCGGAATAGGAATTATTGCCTTCAGGCACCAATTTAGTTTAGAATTATTGTTTAATGTTTGTACACTGTTTTGTTGTGTAGTTGCTTTTTTTGAAGTGTGAAGATAACTGAATGACTTCTATATAATATACTAGCTACTCTCACGCGATTTCACCCGCTGCTTTGCTCCATTTAATAATAGCATGATGTTTTATAGCCTATAGCACTAAGAAACATTGTAGCTATCTATCAGTGAAAGAATTTTGAAAATCCGACCAGCGATTCCAAAGATTCACACTACATATATCTCCTCTTAACAAACTTGTTTCAAACTCTTACTGTCCAAAACCTACTCCATTTCTTCTCTTGTACCCTGGTACCAAGGCCATGCCACGGTCTTGGTTATTCTACCTTAACCCGCAATCTAGGTCGTTTTCAAAAAAGGGTTGTAAGTTTCTGAGTTCTTTTTTGTCTTATTACTCCCTAAGAAGATGCAATCACTTTGTTCAAGCGCAATAATGCACCGCAGACACGGTTTGGAGCAGGACAAAGAGCAAGGTGGGTTTTAGAGTCTCCTTCTCTAGGACGAGAAAAGTTATTTGATAATTTACTTTCCGCGAAAAAACCCGTGCTTACACGAGGACAGGGTTGAGTAGCTACGCAAAATACCCTTCCCGCAAAAAAACCGTGCCAATAGTCTTTTCATGGTTATTCAACCCCGTCTGTTCCTACGACACTTCTTCTCATGGGCAAGAGAAGTTATTTGATAATATCCTTCCGTGCTTATAGTCTTTTAATGGTTATTCAACACTGTCTTCGTATTCAGAACAAAATTGTTGCTAAAGAATATTTTAAATTATTATTAAGCTTTGAGTACAGCAGAAAGCGCAAAATGAGTGGCTTTGTAATATTATGCTTTTAGTATAACCTTATTGGGAGTTACACACGTGGAAAGTGGGTGACCTAGTCGGCTTTTAGTCCTTTGTAAAAATCAAAGGTTATATGTATGACAAAAATATTTTTATTTTTATTTTTAAAGGCCTTTCTCATTTAACCAGTATTCATTGAAATAATCGTTCCATTAATATTTCAGCCCTTTATCTCTATGATACACGCGGATCCTTATTTTTTACTTTTATTTTATACCACAACCGTAATAAACGAATGTATATATATTTTATTTATTTTATTTTATATTTTATTTAGAGTTTGGGTATTTGTGATATCAGCTGCGTTGGTCATGTTATGAACTATAAATTTTAAATATATGTGCCTATCTAGTTTTCAACAGTTATGTAGGATTTTGTTTTTTAGCACGACTATCATAAAGTAGACAGAAATATACATTTATTTTATAAAACGTTCTAAAAATTAAAACTGTTTAGGCTCGAATGTTTTTTTACGAAGTTTTATCGTCTAAACGGATTATAAAGCGGTATAACAAACTCAGATCCAACAAAAACTAAAATATAGTTTTTTGTTTATCTAAGAGCCAGGTACGTAGCAAAATTCTGAGTACATGGATTTTTTCTTCTTAAGAACTCTTTTAATTAAAGCGACCATGCTTTAAATTAAAATACCGTCAAAAACAAAGAGAAACTAAAATTTTCTATTTCAGATTGACCATTAAAGGCACTTTATAACGTTAAACAAAATAATTAAATATAAAAAATTGCAAAGTGTCAATCTGTCGGTGTGTCGTCTCTCATGAAGCTCTTTAGTCGTTCCAAAGCGTAGATGTGGATGACGGACACGGTGAAACACAGCGTCGTGTTTCGCCGCATGAGTGAAGTTGTTTCACGCCGGATTTATTTGAGGCCGTGGCGGCACTCCGGACGAGCTGCCCTATTCTGTTATTTCTGAGCTGTACTTAGCATGGCTCTTCCACACTTATTTGGTATTTAACTTACAAATGACAATGTGTTTGACAAATTCACACAAGATAATCTTACTTTTGTAATAACTAAGCGTCTTCTAGTTTTTTTTAAGGGATAGGATGGCAGTTTGTTGTGATTACTTGATGGTAAGCATTTAGCGCCGCCCATGGACACCAACACACTACAACTACGGAGTTACGAGTGCGTCCCCGACCTTTTGGGGATTTGTGGATTGGGGGATGGGGAAGGAATGGGATTCCGGTAACCCAACTCACACGGTGAAACACAACGCTGTGGTAGTTTCACGCTGATTTTCTATGAGGCTGATGGTAAGCAATTAACGCCGCTCATTGCCGACCTTTTGGGGATTAGGGTTTTGGATATTAAGAGTCTTAGGGAAGGATTGATAACCTCACTCACACGGCGAAATACAACGCTATGGTTGTTTAACACCGGTATTATGTCGAGTCCGTGGTATTACTCCGGCCGAGCCGACCCATTCGTGTCAAAGCATGGCTCTCCCACACTAAAATACCTATAACAATACAAAAGAAAAGTTAAAATGAACTTCGTGTAACTGGTTCTTTCCAGATCGGTTCGTTGTTTCGTCCCTAAATGTGTACGTGATAAAAATACGCGTTCGTTTTTTTGTTTTCGTACGTAATATACATACATAGGTATACCTACATAGATGCTAGTATAAAAATATATTTTTCGATTCTTCTTTCTCTGTTATCACGATTCGCCACAGGGGTGTGCGATAATCTGATACAAGTTTCTTTTCTGTTTATTTCAGTTTTGTTTTTTGTTTATATATTTTTTTTGGTTACCCTTAAACTTTATCTGTAGGTATCTACAGTTTCTGTAGTAGAAGCAGTGTGCTATGCTGGTTTTTCTTTAATAGTTTTAAAAGCATCAATGCGATTTCCGAGTTCGCGATGCGAACTTGTTTCAAAGTAATTAAAAAAAGACGTGACTAGTGTATTCACTCAATGCCATGCCACTCATGCCAGTCAATCATCATTTAAACACGGAATAATCGAAATAATGCATACAATAATTATAAAAGAATAATATAAAAGGCTTTATCCGGTTAAAGTCGGTCCAGCCATTCCAAAGATTGGCTGGAACAAACAGACAGACCAATAGACAAAGATTGTAAAAAGTATTATTTTTGTGAATGTAACAAAAATGGGTTTTTCAATATCACAAGCAGACACTCCAGTGATATAAATAAATATACTTTTAAATGTGATATACTTTATTTATAAAGTTTAGTACAATTTTTATTCGATAATTTATTTATAAACCTTTTTATTACCTTTAAAAGATAAAGATAAAGATTAAAAGAACATTTTAAAGTATAGCACTAACCATTACCCACATTGCGAACGTATGTCTTCACTCCGAACGTTTCCTCCGGTGTTTCAGCGTGATAAATACGTTCACTGCGCCAAGACATTACGCGAATCAAATATAGAGAGAATAGTGAGAATTCAACTATGTGTCTTATGAAAATGGCATAAGAATCACTTGTTTTCACCAAGACTTTGATATTTGTTCGTTTTGTTTTCAAAAGAAACGTTGCCTCACACTAGGATCTTCTCCTGTGACGTGAGTGCATTTACAAACATACAAATTCACATGTACACAAGCCACTCAGATCCGGAACAACAATTTGTTGATAACACAGTGTTGTTCCGTGCGGGAATAGTGCTTGCGATGAGCGGCGTGACAGCCAGTTGCCAGTTGCCAGTTGCAAAAAATAACATTTTTATTGAATATTCGGTTTTGTTTGTATTTGCGTTGTGTGTATAGTGATCAAAACTACTACTTTTAAGAGACGGGTAGCACCGTCCTCCTTAGTTTCTGTGATCTAACTTAAACCTACAACAATGACCCTAAAGCTGTAGGTACGTTTTCTTTTTTCGAGGTAGAAATATATTTGTGTGAAACCATAAACTGTATGATAAGGCCATTTTAATAGTAACACCAATAAGCACTAAGTCCACAAAGCACCGAGTCTGCAAATGGGGCCCAACAAGGCTAATGTTCAGCCTGGAACATGAGAACGAACGGGAAGTTTTTTAGTCAGTAAGAATCTGACAGTCTCTCTCGCCTCACCCTGGGTAAGAGAAGTCATCTGATGACTTTTCACTCTAAACAAAATAAAAATTTAACCATTGTTTATCTGACGAAAAAAGAAAAGAAAGTAAAGTAAAGAAAACTAAAACAGTTTTATATACATTCCTTGTAAACATAATCTATATGAAAAAGACATTTTTTTTTTCAATTATGTTACGTAACTATAATAAATGATTAAGAATCTATAACAATTGAATTGCTGCCCAACAAGCAGCAATTGAAAAACAAATGAACTGCGATGTAAGTGTAAAATAATTCCTCTCCGTTTAATTTTACCGTCTCAAGAGGCTATTTAATTCTCTTTCGAGGGTGTATTACTTAGAAATACACTAATGCGAGACAAAATAAATACAACTTATCTTCGAAGAAAAATCGATCCAGACATTATGTTAGGCCTAAACAAATATAGATCATATGCTTATAGCACGGAACATATTTTTTCAGTCTTAAATGAGCCATAACATTATTTCTTTTCTTAAGAGAACACTCATAGCGAAAAACAACAACCTTGCCAATACCTAAGAAAAAATGTCATTTTCGGTAGCAGAAAATGTTATTACAATAGCATGCCATCTTTATTTCGCCCATTTGGATACAGAACAGAGAATACCAAGGAAATTACCTTCCATTCTCTTCAAAATTGGAACTATGCAGGAATACCGTTGCAATTTAAACGCAGAAGCTTCCAATTTTGTAAATAAATTGACAAAAAATGGCCGCTTATTTTGAATTTGAAATTGGAAACATTTACAAGTCTAAAGAGGAATAAATTGTGTGAAAGGTGGAATGACAAAAAGTATTTATTTATGCTTAGTTATTCTTTGAGTTTTGCATGTACGTTTGACAGCATAATTCTTAATCAAGGAGTCTTACTTAAACGTCAGCCAGATTGAGTTCATAAATAGCATTCTTTTACATTATCAAACTTAATAAATATTATCAAGTGTAAGGCGCGATCAGAGCGATATCAGGGCCTCAAGGAAAACCAGCGTGAAACAGGCACTGCGTTGTGTTCCGCCGGTTGATTGAGGTTGATAACCTCAATCCTCAAAAGGTCAGCAACGTACTGGTCTTTCCCGAAACCCTAATCCTCAAAAGGTCAGCAACGTACTGGTAACTCGTTGGAGCGGGTGAAATATGTAAATTTGTTCGCCGTCGTATTACATAAAAATATGTCTTCATAAGCTGTCTTAATACCTCCATATTCATCATGATCTTGAAGTCGTTCCAATAAATTCTTTAACGGATTTATTTTTTCATTCATTCATTTTTTCATTCTTTTAATTCACTCATCAGTTCTGAGAATTCCCGAATACTCGTACTTCTCAAGTGTATTCAGCTTGTCACTATAATATTCCTTGTTCAAATTCTGTTTATCTATAGCACAAAATTACGATCCGTCGTCTCGAGTTTGCGCCAATAATTCGCTTTGCTTTTGTGTTAAAGATGAAAAGGGTCAGATACTGGCTGATTGTAAAGATTTTTGTTTCATCGTCTCTTTTGAAAAATGTTTTGTTGTTATATTTTTTTTCTTTG